GCCCTTTAGTGAAGGAACTTGAACTTGGAAACCACAAACTATCCTCAAGGCAAATTATGCAGATGCCTGGGTAGTTAAGAAGCTAAAGCAGCAGGACGCCTCTGCTTCCAGGTCAGCCAGCCATTGCTCACCCTGGGAAAGACCTCTTTTGCCCCCCCCACCCCCGCCCCCCACGAAGCAGCTAGCCGGGTGCACCTCTTTTGCTCCTTCACTGACGCGCTTTGCTAGGATGAGTGGTGAAGTTGGGTGTCCCGGAAAGGAATAAAGGGCCATCACGAGATGATGGGTCTTCTCGCGTCTGTTTTGGGAGCCTTTGCTTGACATCCATAGTTTTGGATGATCCATGTGAACAAAGCGCCAGTGACCTCAGCACCAAGGAGAGGTGTGAAAATGGCCCTGCTCTACAGGTTGGCCACCAGTAAGGCCCCGGAGGCGAGAGCCTTCTTCTGCCTCCAGTCCTGCTGCAGACCCTGGAGCAGTCTCAGGAAGAACGACCAGGCGACGTCGGTGCAACTGACTGCAGGCCCCCCCCTCCCCTTGATAAGTGGGGCTGTGACATTTGGAGTGCATGGACTGTACAGAGAGAAAATCTCAGGCTGGCCAGTGTGCGACATCAGTGGAAGCAGGGTCGCGACCTTCCTTCCTATTGATCGCCCCTCTCTAATTTCCACAGCTTGCTGAGGCTTGTTCTTCCAACCTGCTGGTGTACATTAGAGCAGAAATCCATAACAGGGCTCTGTTCATCCAAGCACAGGAAGAAACTAAATTAAATGTTAAAAAACAATCCGAGGATGGAGCTGGAGACAATTCATCATGATCCTGAATGTCACTGGGTAGGCGGATTACCAGGAGGTCTTCAGCGAACAGTGCCTTCGCTGAAGGAAGAGTATGGAGAAGGTCCCAGAAGTGCCACATCCAGAAGGCAGACCAGAGAAGGCAGGAAAGCCTGTGGGGAGTTTACGTTTCCTCATCCTTCAGGAGCCTATAAAGATTGCTCCTTAAAGAAATGGAACACAAACTCTCCGAAGACACAAGCATTTGCCCGACCGAAACTGAACACAGCAGTGGTGGAGGGGGGGAGGGGCTGGGCTGCGGGGGAGGGAGACATGCCCATTTCTCTCTGTTTATTATGTGCATGCTGTGGGAGTTGTGATGGGCTTTGTAGAACCAGCAGAGGTGACTGTTTTTTAAGTTCCCTTAATTGCACAATGGAAACATGACCTATGTTTGGAGCTAAAATCGAGCAGCGTGGCTCGGCATTCTCCCCACTGCATTCAACCAGCTGAAATAATTGCTCAGACCCTGCTTTTAAGATAAAAAGAAAAATGGATATTTGCTCACTTATCCTGCAATTCGCAGGCTTGCCTTTGGTTACAGAAGGTTCAATAAGGTAGAAAACCTCTCATAGATTAATAGAAGGAATGAAGGACAAGATTAAAAATGGTCAAAACAAAGGTGGGTTCTCTCAGACCGCACGGCCAAAAGAAGATGATGGACATGGGGAGACCCTCCAAGGAGCATCCTTCCTTTTCGATGTCCCAAAGGTTGTGTGCCTAAACAAAGGCTGTCAGCCAACTGGAGGTGGGGAGGGGTCATCTTTGCCCACCAAAGAAGGAGTGTTAGTCCATTGACCGACACCATGGAAGCTGGCCAGCATGTCGATTTATAAGCCCTTCCTTCCTCTCTGGTGATCATTCATTAATCTGAACATGGAATTGGCCATTCATCCCAATACATGCGTACTCTGCCTTTCGGTGGACAATAGCCAAAGCCTTCAACCCTCACCTCTAGGCAAGGACTCCCTTCACTCTAGAACACCACCGGTGGTGACCAAGTCATCTCCAACGTGTTGCGATGGTTTAAGCAGAGCTGTTTACTTAGTCCTTGGTCTTCTGATGTTTGGCAGACATTTGGTGGAACCTTTGGGTGGCAGAAAGGGCCTCCCGTGCTGAACAGCAACTCCTCTAGGGGCTGACCCCTGGTCACTTGAAGTAAGCCAGCTGTCAGGATTTATGGAGAAAGGTGGGGTAAAAACGTGTTAACTAAATAAAACTACAGGCTGTGTGGAACACTGAGGAAAGCCTTGGCAGCAAAGTGGGATATTTTCTCTCAAGAGGAAGCGACAGACCGGGGTCTTCAAAGAGGCAGCAAAGAGGCCCCAACATCTGTGGAGGAAAAGGGGGCTGGACCCACTTGTGGGGCCTCTGGCGCCTCACCTGGGCCTGCATGAAGAGCCCCGCCTGGCAGTCCTGCTCCTCTGCCCTTGGAGGGGCTGGGGAGGTGGGACCTCAGCGTCCCTCAGGCCTGCTTAGCAAGTTGGCAGTGGCGAGCCCGTGCCCTCGGCAGTATTTGGTCCCCTTTCCGGAGAAATCATAACGGACCTAAGTGGGGAACCGAATGCTTCTGGCTCTCCTGCACGATAGCCTGCCACCCTGCAAAGAATGAAGTCTTAAACAATATCCAGAGAAAGATATAAAGAAGTAACTATAAAAGTAAAGAAAATCGTGGCTTGCCATGGTAACTTTAAAATTATACTCTTGGGGGGTAATTTTATGTTTATTTTTATCTGTATTTTTTTCCCTTTGTGTTTTGCTTGAACAGCTTGCACAGACTATCAGGGCTACCTCTTCCAAATCAGAATTAGGGAACTTTTATATAGTGGCCTGCAGAGGTTTAGCCCCCCCCCCCCGGCCTGTGCGGCTCCTTCATGCCATCCTCAAAAGTCTTCTCAAAGCTTTAACTTTCATAGGATGAAAAGCGGCTGATTGAAGTTTGGCTCCCAGGCAAGCAGGAGAGGCCAAAATGAGAGGATGAGAATCAGATCAGGTGAGGGACTGGCTTGTGCTCTTCCTTCCTTGTCTCCCTCTTGTCTGGACCAACTGATCTAAAAGCTGTCCTTCAGCTGAGATTCCTACATACATACATGCACGCACGCACGCACGCACGCACGCACGCACGCACGCACGCACTGGCCATAGACCTTTACAAATTCCTTAATACAGATTCAATTCAAAAAAGGATGCTTCTCTCCCCCCCCCCCCCGTCCCCTTCTCCCAAACGGGCTTCTTCCTCTCTGGCAACTTCCCCATTTCTGGAAACAGAGGCTTCCACAGTCAAACCGACAACACTTACCACAGCTTTTATCAAAGATTTCAATTCTCTTCATCTTAAGGAAAATAGGCCTTTTATTTTGTTGTGGACATAAAATTATGGGGCTGGGAAAATTGGAAACATTTCTGTTGAGGGAAATCAATTTTCTCACTGCCACATATGTTCAATATGTCAGAGCCATTATCCAGATAATAACAGCAAAATACAACTGAAATGGCAGGTAGAACAATCTTCAACACAGAGTCAAAAAAGATTTTTGCCCCCATCCCCCAGAGCATGTGTTGTCCCACAGAAGACGCTTTCAAAACATTTCTGTCGATGAACCATTTCCAGGCACCAACAGTGGGAAGAGCTGCTGGAATCAAACGGCCAAGAAATTTGCACTTCAATTAATACGTTCTCCCTTTCTGAAGCAGAGTTCTTCTTTCTATGAAACACTGAACTTTTTTCTGCACAGAAAATCTTAACACCAAGCAGCGCAAGCATGCTGCTGTCTTGATTCTAGAAAACAAAAATATGCCCCATATTTCCAGCTTCCCTTGGTGAGAGCTTCCTAAAAGCTCCTCTGACGGGACCGACAACTGGCTCCTCTGCCAGTTCTCTGCTGCCAGGAGAG